TCATTTTTTCACCAATTATATCTTAATGTCTCTAAATTTCAGCATAACAACGACCCAATAACTGGCACATTATCAAATGCTGGGACACAGTTTGCCGAAAACATCGGACTCCAAAGTATCCGCATGACAATGACACATTTACATACAGTTTACATCACTTGTACACTTTGATCTTAGTCAATTAGTGAAATTAGACAAAAATATGAAAAATACATTTCCAACAATAATGCATAAGTGAAGATATCGGACAACAAGACCACGATGTTGTGATTTATAGAAGTGGCCTGACCTCGTTGTCGTCAGGGCGACTTAGTACCAAGTCCACTGTCCGATGCTGGGAAGCATGACAACTGCTACGGCAGACGACTTCGGACTGGGTGCGTTCTACCAAGTCGCCTTGACAACGAGGTCAACCCAATTTAATAATGTATAACGGTAGGGCGATATTTGGAGATTGAAAATGTGGTAAAAAGATGAAGACACTTTTGTCTGTGTCATGGCTACGAGGCCAGAGCAGCGTCTGAGAGAGATGTGAAATGAGCGGAAAACACAGCTCATCTGGTAGGCAAGGCGTGGGCAAATGGAATAGACGAAATAAACGTGAGAAATGTAGACTTTCGTGTTATGACGAAAAACACACTTTTATTTCAAGATTGGTTTCGCTCTCGGTTGGGTACCGATTTTCGAGAATTGGAGGCAAATAAAAAAAGAAAAAAAACACATTTCTTTCGCTAATCGACCCTTTCTGTATTGGACTTACCCAACCATGTACAGGTGATCACATAGTCGCTCGGACGAGGTGGCCAACTGGGCGTCTGTTGATCGGATGGGATCAGATCGGACGGAAAAAGATGTGAAACAAGAGGAGGAGGGGGCCGAACGAGGTCACAACGTGTAGTTTTGTATGATCCACTGCTAGCGGATACTCTCTTCAACGACGCCCGAGAGTGTGTGTGCGGTGGGAAAGAGTGAATCAGAGAGGGCACAAACAAGCTGGATCGACAACATGCGGCCTGCGCGACATGGGGCGAGCCGACGGACGTTCGGTCAAACTGGCAATTGTGTGAATAGAGTGTGATTGCCTCGACGGAGCCAAGGAGAAGAACGGTAAGTCGACGAAACCGCACAAGGGCAAGGAGGACATCCTGAGTCGTAGACAACACTGCCTACGCACACGTTCATGCCTCTACTCTCTCCTTCACACAACAACACACACACACACACACACATACATATACACACATACATGTCCGTCTGCACTGCTTTTAGTTGGTCTGCTGGCCAG